TTATTGTGAAATCCCACGATTGGGGCATAAAATGAGGCAATAATTGGTGTATTGCGTCAATCGTGGGATCCCAGCTTTAATTTGTTAAATGGTTCATCAAGTCGATTGACTGTGTATGTTCTTGTGGAGTGATTGTTCCAGCTGCTGGTGTCGTGAGTGGTGAAATTAGCTCAATTTTCTAAGTAAAAAGTATTTTGGCGGAAATTTCTTGCCCTATATGAGTCAAAGCCGTGTTTGTGGAAGATTAAGTTCACGATATTGCAATTGTGAATTAAAAGAAAACAATGTGTAACAAAATGGTAGAAAAATTATGAAATTTCGGCTCTAATCATTTCGATCTTTCCTCGACCTCATTTGTAAAGAAATAAACAATGTACCAGCATGCTGGTAAGTTATATGATTCGAGCCTGATGGTACAATCACTTGATGGAGCCAGCAAGCTGGTGTCCAATATTTCCCCTTTTATATAAAAGGTTTTTGGTTGCATAAAATATTTGCTTTTTTTCAGATTTCATTGTTTTTATATACCATTACTTATTGAAAATGTTTGCGTGTATACTTATATATGTATATGTAATTAAAAAAATGTAGCTACCATTTTTAGCCACAACGACTTTTTCTAGCTCTTTTTTAGCCCTTTTTTTAAAGGAATTTGGCTACCACTAAAATTATTCGCGGCAACACTGATTATGCAATGCGCATGCCACATTCTGAACATATTTTTAAGGTAAGTAGTGTAGCTGTCAAGCACCGAAATCTTATTTTAAAACGCCAATCAACCTTTCGACTATAAGGTGCTTAACGTCGAAAAGCTGCGATCACAACAGACGGCCAACTTTTTGGCCATTCGACTCCCACACCTGCTCTCTGAGAGCACCCTTCAACAAACCGAGATACGCGAGCAGTGGAGCCACATTTCTCGCTCATTAAGTACCGCCTCCGAAGAAATAGTCGGCTTTCAGCGAGCCCGAAAGAACAACTGGTACGATGAGGACTGTCAAGAAGCTGCAGAGAAAAAAGATGCCGCCTACAGGGCCACGCAGCGATCGGGAGCAACGCGAGCCATGTGGGATCGTTATAGAGAACTGAAGAAAGAAGCCAGACGTATTTGCCGCATTAAAAAGAGAGGCCAAAATACGTGAGTGCGAAGAGCTTGAATTGCTGACCGACAGGAAAAATGCCCGAAAATTTTATCAGAGTTAGCCGCCTTACTGAAGGTTTCAAGATCAAGGCGAAGTCCTGTAAGAACAACCATGGCGACCTAGAGACTGATATCCAGAACGTACTTAAGCTATGGAGGGAACACTTTTCCACTTTATTGAATAGCAGCAGCACTGAAATAGTGGAGAAGACGAACCCGCGCCCCCACTCGATGACGATGGAATCGATGTCCCAGCGCCTGACTATGACGAGGTACGAATAGCGATTACGCGGGTGAAAAACAACAAAGCTGTTGGAGCTGACGGCCTGCCAGCCGAACTATTCAAGTACGGTGGCGAGGAGCTAATGAGGGGCATGCATGAACTCTTATGCAGAATATGGTCAGATCAACGCATGCCTTTAATCAGCCTTCTGAGCATAGGTTACATGGTCCTGTCGAGTGTATTGTTTGATACCAAACGAAGTTTCAGACAAGGTGACTCCTTTTCGTGTGATTTCTTTAATCTAATGTTGGAGAAGATAACAAGAGCCCATGATTCAATAATAGAAAGGTTCTGTAATAAAACAGTCTTCTCGCTCCCACACATAAAATCGGCTCCTTTACTTGTGCAGAATGTTGCTCACTCTACAGTTTCTAGTTATACTAGTAGTAAAACCAAAAATTCTTCATACTAAATATTTGTTGGCATCACCTTCGTTTGCGTAAAGAAAATTTTAGAATAGTTACGCTGATTTCAACGATACCAAATTTATTTGGCGCAGGTAAAAAATAAAAAAGATATAAGAGGTTTATTTGCTTTGTTTATTTATATTTTTTATTATCGTCTATCTGGTCAGCCAAGTGGAGGAACACATACGATCATTTGACAGGCTTGAATACCAAAGATCGTGGTGCGCGTTAAAGTCGCCAACTACCATACGATTTTCACCTCTGAGGAGCGCACCTATTTCAGGGTAATATCCTGCCGAGCAGCTGGTTACAGTCGGAGGTGACTCTACCCATTGCAAGTGTTACACTTGACTGTGGTGGAGTCGTCTCTACCACACGCAGCACGTGTAAGTTTCTGGCCCAGGGTTTGGCCCGTTAGAACCGGCTGTCGTGGGAATGGGAATTGGGAATTTGAAATGGGGGAATGAAAAAATTATAGTGCTATGCGTCGTTTATACCGAGAAACAGAAAAAATCCTTTATTGGAAGAAAAAAGGTGCGTGAATTGCAACGGCATCATATGGGAATGGGGGCCCTTAAAAGTTGAATGTAAAAATAATGTTTACTAATACCATATGTATGAAGATCTATACTTTTAAGAAAATAACTGAATTTACGTGTTACCTCAACTTTTTTTATTTATAAGAAATAAACTGTATTGTTTATTTTCATATGTTTAAGCTAAAAAGTGATATTGGAATATTTTTTTACATTTTTATATTAAAAATAAAGTGAGAAATTACATATGTGTTTTTACATTATTTAACAAGCTATGTATAGTTTTCATAAATCGAATTGTCATTTATGGAAGATTCGGTTGGCATTCCCTCTTCATTTACTCTTTCATATTCCTCGTCCAAAATATCAGGAGTATAATCCTCGAATTGGTAGTAAATATACATATTATGCAATACGCATGCCACATTCTGAACATATTTTTAAGGTAAGTAGTGTTGCTGTCAAGCACCGAAATCTTATTTTGAAACGCCAATCAACCTTTCGACTATAACGAGCTTAACGTCGAAAAGCTGCAGTCTCAACAGACGGCCAACTTATTCGCCACTCGACTCTCACACCTGCTCTCTGAGAGCACTCTTCAACAAACCGAGATACGCGAGCAGTGGAGCCACATTTCTCGCTCATTAAGTACCGCCTCCGAAGAAATAGTCGGCTTTCAGCGAACCCGAAAGAACAACTGGTACGATGAGGACTGTCAAGAAGCTGTAGAGAAAAAAGATGCCGCCTACAGGGCCACACAGCGATCGGGCGCAACGCGAGCCATGTGGGACCGTTAAAGGGAACTGAAGAAGGAAGCGAGACGTATTTAAGAGCTTGAAATGCTGGCCGACAGGAAAAATGCCCGAAAATTTTATCAGTGTTAGCCGACTTACTGAAGGTTCCAAGACCAAGGCGAACTCCTGTAAGAACAACCATGGCGACCTAGAGACTGATGTCCAGAACGCACTTAAGCTATGGAGAGAACACTTTTCCACTTTATTGAATGGCAGCAGCACTGAAAGTAGTGGAGAAGACGAACCCGAGCCCCCAGTCGATGACGATGGAATCGATGTCCCAGCGCCTGACTATGACGAGGTACGAATAGCGATTACGCGGTCTCAATTCGGTTTCTGATTTTAAGGATTTAGGTGTCTATTTTGATAAGAAATTGAGTTTCTCAACTCACATTAACTATATTTTTTCAAAATCTTTAGCAATGTTAGCCTTTATTCGTCGTAACAGTACTTCTGCTTATGATCCTTACATATTGAAGATTCTTTATGTTTCTCTAGTAAGATCAAGGCTCGACTATTCATCTTTCATCTGGAGACCGTACCATTCTTCATATATATATACGGAACCGACTCCTTCATATGAATCGCGCTGCGTGCTTTTGGATATTAAACCCTTGAGTAGTAGATTCTCCTTCCTCGCTTCCTCTTTTGTGTGGAATATCAAAATGGATCTGTTGATTGTCCTAACCTCTTGGAACGACTACATTTCAATTTCCCTAGGCGAAATCTAAGGCTAATAACTATTTTACATTGGGTTAGTAAAATCTAACTGCGCCAAGTATGTCCCGTTAATAAGAACCCTAGTGGACTTAAATAGCATTCCGATTCTTGATTTGTCCCTATCCTGTGGAGCAGTTCGTACCACATTATATAATTACTTTAGTTATTTTAGTTAGTAAAAATTTATTGTTCATTTGACTGAAATAAATAAATAAAAACCGAATAGTGCATACATGCACATTTTCGGTTGCAAATCGAACTTAGGCATATTAAAAGAACCAAACATAAAAGAACATACATATGTTTATGCCCCATTTATAAATGATATATAAGTTGTAAAGCGAAATAATGAGAAGAACTTCTTTCTGCGTAGGCGGCTTCGGCCGCGCTTAGGGATTATAACCCTTAAGCTGATGCCAGATAAAACTTTGTGGCTTTGCGTGACATTTATAACTTTGCCAGCAAAGCACCAGACGCAAACGATATGCCACAATGAAGGCCAAGAAAACAATTTTGCACTGCCTTTTTACTCGTCAAAATTCCTGTGGATTTTATATTTTTTGCTTTAAAAATATCAGCAATGTAATTAAATATATGTTTCTGCATGAAAACTCGACTTTGCACGAAACAAAACATATATTAAAACAGCTGATTGTTAGCGCGCGCAAAAATATGCAACGATTTATGTGGCATGCTTTGTGCATTTACATACAATTCAAAGTGAAGCAAGCGTTTTATCTGGCATCAGCTTTACTAAGTAGAATTCTCCTTTCAGTCCTTCTTTCTTTGTAGGCGGCCTTCGTCCGCGCTTAGGGATTATAACCCTTACTAAGTAGAATATTCCTTTCCGTGTTGCCGGAAAAGAAGGGCGGATGTATTATTGCGCAGAACTTCTTGCTTGATAAAATAACGCACACAATCGATAACGTACGAATTAAAATTTTAATTTCATACTCAAGCTAAGCATTGTATGGGATTATAACCCTTACTAAGCAGAATTTTCGTTTCCGTGTTGCCGGAAAAGGGGGACGGAAGTATTTTTGCGCAAAACTTCTTGCTTGATAAAGAAATACACACACTCCATAGTTCGTAACGTACGAATTAACATTTTAATTTCAGGCTCAAGCTAAGAATTGTATGGATATTTTCAACACAGGAGGCAAGGAAATATATCCCCATTGCTTGGGGAACTCAGTTAACCGTTGCTTAAACTTAGCATTACATATAATAAAGAAATCAGGCCAGGGATTATCATACTCAATCCATACTTCAACTATTCATTTTATTGGTAAGTGAAATTATTTTTTATATGCAATAAATATTTTTTACTTATTTTTGTTTTCCTGGATGAATCACTCCCATTTCACGAAGACGGAGACATCGCATTAAAACAACGGAGCAATTCCGCAGTGCATATTAAACTTTCAAAGCATATGGCTCAATGAGGTTTAGACTTCCTGACCATGTTTAAATTGTAAGAAATTGTTCATTGGTTTGGACTTACAGAATTCGAAATATTAATAAACCTGTGTGGAATGCTAACTAGACCGTTCGTTATTTCAGTTTTTTTTTTTAATATACAGTTTGCCGGGCGAAAAAAGATGTATTCTGGTCTAAAAATAAGCTTGCAAAATTTTATTCGATTATGATAACTCTAAGTACTTAACGTTGCATTTGAAAATTCAGAAAACCATATGCATTCAGGGAAACAAGTTTTTAACAAAATAGTTGACGATCGTGAATTTTATAGTCATTTGCTATGTAAAATAACTCACAGAATCTGAATATGAGGTCAAAAATGAAATAGTAGAATAGGTTTTAAGAATTTTCGAAATTATCGTTTTTTTTCAAATTGAGAAAACAGCATTTTAAATTTTTACCAAAAATATCGGGTTCTGATTATCGCACCGCAAAAGCTCTCCACCGGATTTAAGGTCTTCGAATTCCCTATGAACTTACTATACAATGTTATGCAATCAAATTATCAGTTTAAGAGTTATTTGCAAATTTATGGGTGAAATCGGCCACAATTTTAAGTCGTATCGGTATTCTACTGTGAATTACAATCAAATGATCAGTTTAAGAGTTATTTGGAAATTTATGGATGAAATCGGACACAATTTTAAGTCGCATCGGTATTCTACTGTGAATTACACCTAAAAGCTGCAAACTTGTTGTTCTTATTTATATGCTATACTAGCAGAACACCCGACGTCGTTCGGGATAAACAAATCAAGATATAAAACAGCAATACAAATATATTTACTGATCATCATTTTGTGTACTACAAATCTTGTTCCATTATTAATATTAGGTGGATTAAGGTAACGATAGAATTTTAAAATTACTACCTACTACGGTACATTCCGTTTAGCTGCCTATTCACTTAGCTGTTTTAGTATAGCTGCACTTCTCCGGTAGAATGCTTATTTCGTAAGAGTTTTATTCATTACAAATATTTACTGATCATCATTTTCTGTACTACAAATCTTGTTCCATTATTATTAGGTGGATTAAGTTAACAATAGAATTTTTAAATTACTACTACGGTACATTCCGTTTAGCTGCCTATTCGCTTAGCTGTTTTAGTATAGCTGCACTTCTCCGGTAGAATGCTTATTTCGGAAGAGTTTTATTCATTATTTTAACAGCAACCGGGAACAAAAAAATGGTATTACCTTTCCATTTCGAAATTCTCTAAAGACTGTAAGGTTTCATAAAAACCACAGTTTTAAATAGCCGAGTGATCTAATAGGTGAATACATACATATTTATCCCCTTTTACAAACTCATTTATATATACTTTACACTAAACACCTCCCATATATGTACATATATGTATGCATACCGAATTTCAAGTTAATTTGACTTATGGTTCCCATTTTATGGCTGTTTAAAAATTCCTCGCCTATGCTCTACGTTCCCTTTTACAAACTCCTATATACAAACCTTACTATGGATATGTATTCATACCAAATTTCATATTCTTCTGAATTATGATTCCGAAGTTGTAGCTGATACAAAAATTCACGCCTGTGGAATGTGCCACGTCCCCTTTCAGAAAAACTATTTTATATATGCCTTAAGCATTTATCATAGATCTTCGCACCAAATTTCAAAATCATGTAACCTGTGGTTCCGAAGTTATATCAGTTTAAAAACTTCACGCCCATGGGATGAGCCACGCCTTCTTGTACAAACTCATTTATATATACCCTACTATAAGCACCCACCATAAAAATTTCCACCCCCATGGGATGTCCGACTCCCCCATTTAGAAACTCATTTATATATACCTTGCTATAAGCACCTACTATAGATATGACTGCATACCAAATTTTAATTTCATGTGACAAATGGCTCCGAAGTTATAGCTGATAAAATATTCCACGCCTATGTGATGTACCACACCCCCTTTTAAAACTAAATACCATAAATATGCCTGCATACGAAACTTCAAGTTCACGTGACTTATGATTTTGAAGTTATAGCTGATAAAAATTTCCCCGAATGTAGGATGTGCGACGCCCCTTTTAACAAACCCAGTTATTTATACCTTACAATAAGCACCTACCATAGATATGTCTGCATTCCAAATTTCAAGTTCATGTGACGTGGTTCCGAAGTTATAGCTGATAAATTTTCCACGCCTATGGGATTTGCCACGCCTCCTTTTACATACCTATTTATATATACCTTACTATAAGCAGCCATAGGCATGCCTGCATACCAAATTTCATCTCACGCCTATGGGATGTACCCCGCCCCCTTTTTCAAACTCATTTATATATACCCTGTTATAAGCACCTACCATATATATGTCTGCATACGAAATTTCAAGTTCGTGGGACTTATGGTTCCGAAGTTATAGCTGATAAAAGAGTCCACGCCTATGGGATGTGCCACTCCCCTTTATATAAACTCATGTATATATAGCCTTCTATAGACACCTTCCAAATATCAACTTCATGTGACTTATGGTTTTGAAGTTATAGCTGATAAAAATTGCCACGCCTATGGGATGTACCACGCCCCCTATTACATACTCATTTATATATACCCTGTTATAAGCACCTACCATAGATATGTCTGCATACCAAATTTCAAGTTCGTGGGACTTATGGTTCCGAAGTTATAGCTGATACAAAACTCCACGCCTATTGGATGTGCCACGCCCTCTTTTCGGTACTCATTTATATATACCCTGTTATAAGCACCTACCATAGAAATGGCTGCATACCAAATCTGAAGTTCATGTGACTTATAGTTCCGGAGTTATAGCTGATAAAATATTCCACGCCTAATTGATGTACCACGCCCCTCTTAAAAACGTATGTATATATACGCTTCTATAAGCACCTAACATATACCTATATGTTTGCATATCACATTTCAACTTCATGTGACTTATGGTTCCGAAATTATAGCTGATACAAAACTCCACGCCTATTGGATGTGCCACGCCCTCTTTTCGGCACTCATTTATATATACCCTGTTATAAGCACCTACTATAGAAATGGCTGCATACCAAATCTGAAGTTCATGTGACTTATGGCTCCGAAGTTATGGTTGATTACAAATTTCACGCATATGGGAGGTGCCACGCCCCCTCGTCGGATCGCAATTTTTCACCCTATTATAGGCCCAGGTGTCATGGCAATACTCTATCATCTATTTCGTATAGTTTCGCGTGGAAAGCTGTGTGTGTATATATTAGAACACAGCCTAAAACTATGTAGGTACATAAGTACTTTTACAAAAAATAAATGTGCACCGAGTGTATAGGGCTTGGGCATTGCCGATCTACACACATTTATACCTAAATGGATGTAGGCGTCGTGATGCCGCATTTTGTATGAGCAAAAATATAAGAAATGGTTAAATGTACACTTAAACAAACTACCGAAAAATTCAACCTTCTCTTTACCCTCTACGCACAAAAACTAAGAACACCGCGATGAGAAGGCAACATTTTTTGTAGAAACAAAAACGTCATAAGCCAATCAAGAAAATTTTGTGCACACTCGGGTTGAAACTCGAACACCCGGGTATATTGAGCTGCAAAGCACCCGAACCCAATCAAGTATGTATGAAAAGCAATCGGGTGTTGTGGCCAACATGTTCGTCTTGAGCTCAGTCGATAACGAACAATACTTCTGCTCGTATACAGAGAACGATGCAAAACGGGTTTTGTTAGATGATCGAGTATACACGAAAATCATGCACCCGCTGCAGATGTCTGATACCTACATACATACTTCCACAAATATATAGTAGATTAATAACTTTTACGTTAATATTTTCAAAGCTCAGTAGGTTGTTTTTAATTACTGAAAACATTTAGCGAATTCGAATATTTAAAATAGCATTGATGCTTAGATTTACATTCAAATTTACGTATATATGTAAGAACCAAGTACGCTTACGTTAATATTTTCAAATCTCAGTAGGCTGTTTTTGATTACTGAAAAAATTTAGCGAATTCGAATATTTAAAATGGCATTGATGCTTAGATTTACATTCAAATTTGCGTATATGTATATGTAAGAACCAAGTACGCTTACGTTAATATTTTCAAATTTCAGTAGGCTATTTTTGAATATTGAAAATATTTAGCGAATTTGAATATTCAAAATAGCATTGATGCTAAGATTTAAATTCTTACTTGCGAATGTATGTATGAATCAAGGGCGATTACGTTAATATTTTCAAATCCCAGTAGGCTGTTTTTGATTATTGAAAACATTTAGCGAACTCGAATATTGAAAATAGCATTGATGCTAAGATGTCCATTCAAATTTGCTTATATATGTATAAACCAAGTACGCTTGCGTTAATATTTTCAAATCTCAGTAGGCTATTTTTGAATATTGAAAATATTTAGCGAATTTAATATTTAAAATAGCATTGATGCTAAGATTTAAATTCTTACTTGCGAATGTGTGTATGAAATATTAACGTTTACCTTAATATTTTCAAATTTCAGTAGGCCGTTTTTGATTATTGAAAACATTTAGCGAATTCGAATATTTAAAATAGCATTGATGCTAAGATTTAAATTCTTATTTGCGAATGTAAGTATGAATCAAGTACGCTTACGTTAATATTTTTAAATCTCTGTAGCCAATTTCTAATATTGGAAATATTTAGCGAATTTAACATTCAAAATAGCATTGATGCTAAGATTTAAATTCTTATTTGCGAATGTATGTATGAATCAAGTACGCTCACGTTAATATTTTCAAATCTCAGTAGGCTGATTTTGATTATGAAAACATTTAGCGAATTCGAATATTTAAAATAGCATTAATACCAAGGCGAATTTACATAAGGTGGTGTTGTTTAATCAGCTGTGTGTAGCGTTTGATTGTCAAAATTTTATATTTTGCTAGTGAGTGCGTGAAAACGTGAGAGTGTTTGCATTTTACCAGCTAAAAGCAAAAACAAAATACAAGTAATTGATGTATTTGTTGAATCGATACCACCTTATATGATTTCACCTTGATTGATGCTTAGATTTCCATTCAAATTTGCGTATTTATGTTTGAACCATGTACGCTTACGTTAATATTTTCAAATCTCAGTAGGCCATTTTTGAATATTGAAAATATTTAGCGAATTTGAATATTTAAAATAGCATTGATGCTAAGATTTGCATTCTTTTTATGCGGAAGTAACAAATTATCAAAAATCAACGGGAATTTTGAAAATCTGCACTTTGTGACATTAAAATTTAATGGGCTTATTGAACTGCGTACCCGAAGAATTTCTAAAATTCAGATTAAAAAATATACATACATCATTTACAAAACTTTGTTACATTGTTCTAAATATTTTTTAAATTTTTTAAGAAGTTTGAAGGTATGAGTTCTATCGTTTAGTTGCTATCAAGAAGTATATTTTTTTGAAAAAATGAGCGAAAAAAGTTTTCATGAAAACATTGTGAATAAGGGGAAAACAATGACTGTCCAATCTTATTTGTGTCACTGTACATCATCATTTAAAATCTGTCATATTTTTACTAAGCGGGTTTGTTTGAAACTAATTTTTGAGTTTTGTTGCGCTGAACAGTTTTTGGATAATAAGTTCAGCCTTTTTTTGTCCAAATTTACAAATGTAACGAATAACATTGAAATTTGATACAAAATTAATTCAGACTGCCACACAGTGCTGTGTCTCCATATAAAAAGTGGGCAAAAATAGAATAATGGACGGATTTGAGTAAAAATTCGTTTCTTGGTGGATTAGAGTACGGAGATTTCAAAAATCATTTTTTTTTTACCTAGCTCTTACATTTTTCATGGAAACTGAGATTGAAACTGCAAAATTTGATATTCAGAAGTAGTTCGAATACTGAGTAGTTATTTTATTATTTATACAGGGCGTTTTCCTAATAATATTAAAGACTTCAAGGCTTCATTCTATGGCTTAATTCATGGCAAATAAGATTCCCTATATCTCTCTTACGCAAACCCTCTAGGAATGGCAGCTACTTTCATTTTGGTCCTTTATGACTACAAAATGTTTTTTTAATTTGATTATATCTTTTGGTGTGGATGTCACACGCTTAAAAAATTTGATTCATTCAAGACGACATTAAATACTCAAAAAAAAAATATAATTTTGTTTTCCTTTTTATTAGTTACTTCGCACGAACAAGAGTTGTTGCAAAATACTGAATCAAAAATTATTTGTTTTATCTAACGCCGTTTATTGAAAAATTAAAGTCATCATGCAGTCAAATTCCAAACTACTCAGCAAACACACTAGTTCATTGACTATATATTTTGTGGTGTATTCATACATGAATTGTGGTGTATTCATACATGAATTTTGTGGTGTATTCATACATGAATTCATTCATGAATTTCGGGTTGAAATCATACTAGTCGGAAAATGTGTAATCTATACTAGCTCTTCTATAAGTGTAATCTATACTAGCTCTTCTATCGAGCTCTTCGATGGAATAGTTTTTCAACAAATGCTCTACCCTTCGATTTTCTGTTCTCCGAGAAGCTTCGCAAAATTCTTCTTTAGAAGGTCTTCCCCGTTCAGCACGTTTATCCTTATTTCCATTGGAATCCGGAAGGGAAAGGAATGTCTAATTTAGCCATTTAGAATATGTTTTTTCAAAAGCGCTTCTTTTGCGGCCACTATAATTCCACTTATTTTTCATCTCACTATTAAAAAGTTTTATTTTTTGATTCAAAAGTGCTTTGTCGCATTTAGCGTGTATTAATTTGTCTTCAAAAAATGCAGATAATGCAGACATTCTATCTGATGGACGAGTAGAAATCCAGATATCAGCTAAAATTGAGTTTTTTATAATTGAATTCATATTAATATTAGTTTTTTCACTATTTTACGCTTCACTACACAGCACAGAACACTACCGCGTGTGTCTACAGTAATAAACTTTACTATTTTTAAAGAATGTTTTGGCATTTAAGTAAAGGAAAATACTGTGGTAACTGTAATCAGTGCATTTTTTTTTTTGCAAAAGTTTATTTTATAACTTAAAAAAAAAAACGATTTTCTTCGAAAAGCGCAATGAGTCTGCAGACTTTTTTTTTATTTCAAAGAAAAATGCCCCTTCTTTCAAATAAAAGAATAAAAAAAACACACTTTTACATATTTTTTTTAATCCCTTTGTAAACTTAGGAATTTTTTAAATTTTCTGCAACAAATTTTAGGGTGTAGCAAATAGGCCATTCCAGCCAGGAAACTCAATATTTTTTAAAAAGCTCTATAGAGTGGTTTCCTTACAGATTTTCTAATTAGAAAAATTGTGTCTTAAGATAAAGTATGATAAATTGTATTTTTAGCAATTTTTTTTTTAAGACTCCAGCTAAAGGAATTTTCATAAAAGAAAAAATATATAAAAAACACACAACTTTAAGAGGTTTTTGTGAGAACCTTATGAGATAAAAACAAAAACTAAGTCCAGATCCTTAATCTAGGATAAATTTCCTTTCCAACGATACCAAACACGTTGACATACGTGACAACAATTTTTTTGATTTTTGCCCGCTCATACAGCACTGTGTGCCATAATAATAACACTATGCGACAGTCAAAATCGGGATGGGATGAAACCAACGAGAAATCTTATATCGGTCAAAAACAAGTTATACGTGTCCCGGCGTTTCGCTGGGTCACGTCTAGGAATCGAGATATATCGATTTGAATTTAGTAACTATCATATAGGGGAAATTGTCACCTTTGGTGGACTTTTTTTTGACATAACTCGAGAACCACTAGTCCGATTTTGCTCAAACAAATTTAAAAAAATTAAAAATTACAATTCCTTTAACCTGTTAATATAACGTTTTCTATATAATCAACACTTTTGCCTGTAAAAATAAATGTATGAAGAAAAAAAAATATTTTTGCCTAAAAATTAAATTTTTTTTAATTCATAAAAAATCCAAATGAATTTAAAAAATAAAAAAATTTAATATTTTAGGTAAAAAATATTTTTTTTCTTCATACATTTATTTTTACCGGCAAAACTGTTGATTATATAGAAAAACGTTATATGATCAGATTAAAGGAATTGTAATTTTTAATTTCTTTAAATTGGAGCAAAATCGGACCAGAGGTTCTCGAGTTATGTAAAAAAAAGACCACCAAAGGTGACAATTTCTCCTATATGATAGTTATTAACTTCAAATCGATATGTCTCGATTCCTAGACGTGACCCTGCGAAACGCCGGGACACGTATAACTTCTTTTTTACCGATATAACTTTCCCCGGTAGTTTGAACCCTTCCCGATCACTGACCCCTACCATTTGTCTCACAGTGTAATCATTATACATTTCACATACCTTGGACTTACTGTGAAAATGGATGGTAGAATACACATTTTTCCTACATCAGTTATTTCGGTGTTTTCACTACTAACGCTGTCCCTGAGATGTATGTACGAATCTACGCGTAATTCTTTTTGGTGTGTTTTATGTACAAAAGGCGCTCTGCTTCCACCTTTGCATACATATCAACAGCATACTGTAAGTCTTGACATCGGTGTAAATAATTGAAGTAGTTGTTTTGTTCCCTTGTGTTTGGGAAATTCCAAAGCGATAGCCATCTTCACCAAGAAAAAAGATGTATTCTGGTCTAAATAAGCTGTGCAAAATTTTATTCGAATATGATAACTCTAAGTACTTACACTTTGCATTTGAAAATTTAGAAAACCATGTGCATTCAGGGAAACAAGTTTTTAACAAAATAGTTGAAGATCGTGAATTTTATTGTCATTTGCTATGTAAAATAACTCGCAGAATCTGAATATGAGGTCAAAAATGAAATAGTAGAATAGGTTTTAAGAATTTGCGAAATGATCGTTTTTTTCAAATTGAGAAAACAGCCTTTTAAATGTTTACCAAAAATGTCGGGTTCTGATTATCACACCGCAAAAGCTCTCCACCAGATTTAAGGTCTTCGAATTCCCTATGAACTTGCTATACAATGTTAAGCAATCAAATTATCAGTTTAAGAGTTATTTGCAAATTTATGGGTGAAATCGGCCACAATTTTAAGTCGTATCGGTATTCTACTGAGAATTACTATCAAATTATCAGTTTAAGAGTTATTTGCAAATTTATGGATGAAATCCGAAACAATTTTAAGTCACATCGGTATTCTACTGTGAATTACACCTAAAAGCTGCAAACTTTTTGTTCTTATTTATATGCTATACTAGCAGAACACCCGACGTCGTTCGGGATAAACAAATCAAGATATAAAACACTAATACAAATATATATTGAACATCATTTTCTGTACTACAAATCTTGTATTAATATTAGGTGGATTAAAGTACCAATAGAATTTTTAAATTACTATCTACTACGGTACATTCCGTTTAGCTGCCTACTCACTTAGCTGTTTTAGTATAGCTGCACTTCTCCGGTAGAATGCTTATTTCGGAAGAGTTTTATTCATTACAAATATATATTGAACATCATTTTCTGTACTACAAATCTTCTTCCATTATTAATATTATACTGTTTTCAGACAGAAAATTAAATGAGTCAATTAAGTTTTTTAATTAAGTATTCGATTTTTGTGTTTCACACACAATCAGCTGCTCGATTAACGAGTGGCGGTCAGCTGTCTTAAAAGAATTTTTGTTTATTTACAATAAATTGGTAAAATGGAAAACAATAAGTGTTTAAGCGAACTTTTTCTTGCGTATACTGCAAATATACAAGTTTTGCAGTCAGTGCTGGCTAGCTACGCAAGTTCAATGGCCTTATATAAAAAGAGAAAAGAAAAAAACTTCATCATTTTGCAACATTTGCGAAGACAGCAGCTATTGCTTTACGGGTTACTGCAGAGGAACGCTACTCAGAGATCCCTCTGGAAATTGGTAAATCAAATTATAAGTAATCAGTTCCTGTCCTTTTATAAATGATACTTCCTATATTACAGAATCGGCAGTCTTCTTTCTGGGAAGTTAATTGCAATTGCAACGATGACCATTTCTTTAAGACGCACTTCCGCATGAACCGCACTAGTTTCGAAACACTCTGTGGTTTCCTCAAAAACCTGCACAAAGCCGACACAAACCGGCGCAACGCGATTCCATTGCAAAAACGCGTTGCGATAGCTCTATTTACGCTGGGATCGTCTGGGGAGTACAGAGTGGTTTCCGAACTATTTGGTGTTGGAATATCGACCGTGTGCACAATCTTGTGGGAGTTTTGCGAGGAAGTCTGGCAAGCTTTGTCAGCGCAATACATAAAAAAAATTACCACCGACTCCACAAACTTTAAAAGACTGTGTTGATGGTTTTGACCGTCTCGGCTTTCCCCAATGCCTTGGAGCAATTGGTAAGAAAGTTAAAAATGCAACTAAATTATATAAAAACAAAGATGTACGTACATACATATGTATATATTCAGATGGGTGCCACATCGAAGTTAGGCCGAATCCAGCCGATGCAACCGACTACCACAACTATAAAGGATGGTATTCTATTATTCTACTAGCTGTAGTGGATTATAGGTTATTTAACTTTTATCCTGTTGTTTTTTTTCTAAAAAGCATGTATTAATTATTTCTATATATGTTCAGATATCGGTTTTTATATGTGAACATTGGTGCTCCTGGACGATGCAATGATTCGCAGATTTATAATGCATCGTTAATGAAGCGAGTAATGGAGGAGAACGAATTACTGAAGGTCAGTAAGAAAGAAATAGGTGGAGTACAATTGCCTATATGCATTATTGGAGATTCTGCGTTTCCGTTTTCCACCTCCTTAATGAAGCCATACGCGTTTTCAATGGCCTTAACTGAAACACAAAAACTCTATAATTATAAGCTTTCAAAGTGCAAAAGAGTAGTTGAGAATGCATTTGGCCACTTGAAAGGACGATTCCGTCGTGTTGGAAAAGGTTTAGACAACCGAATTGGGAAGGCACCCATCATTATTAGATCCTGCTGCGTCTTGCATAATTATTTAAATGAAATGAACGACACTATAAATGACATGTGGTTGGAGAGATTGCATGAAGTGAACAGAAATCTTGAAAATCCTGAATATGTTACTATAGTTGGAGACAATCAACCCTCAGCTGAAGAAATAAGGCAAGGACTATGCAATTATTTTAGTGAGTACAATTTTTATTTGTTCATTTAATTCATTTTCATTTTTTTTATTTACAGTGAATCAAACAAATGACCTCGTGTTGTTTGTTTTTAAATATTAGTAATGTTTTTCGAGCTAAATTTCTTTTGTTATCTATCTATAAAAATACCGTCCAAGCTTTAACCAAAACCTTAAATAAATGCTTAGAGAAGTTAAAACCACAACCAACTATTTTTTAACACTGCGAAAATTCATAATATGACTTTGATGGTACTTTGCGAACCATTTTAATATATTTCTTAGGCCTTTAAAGTTTACGACATACAACAATACGACACTAACGACACCGTTGTGAATCCCCCAAGTGATTTTTAAGGTTTTGGTTAAAGCTTGGACGGTATTTTTATAGATAAATAACAAAAGAAATTTAGCTCGAAAAACATTACTAATATTTAAAAAAAAAAATCAACACGTGGTCATTGGGTTGAGGCACTGTATATACTTTTTGTTAGTTAATAACTGCACTTGAGTCATAGGCAAAAAAAGGGATTTTTCCGTTTTTCGAAATTAGCCTCCGAAATCGAGATATGGGCCTTCGAAGTTCGAAATAGGACCTTTGGTAAAAAATTATATTAAATTATTGCATTATGTAAATAACTAAAAACTTAAAAATATAGGCGCAGTCCACCTTTAATTTAAATGGTATATAAATTTTTTTGTGCAGACCTATATTACAGGTGCTATAAGGGGTCAAAGTTCAGGTCTTCGAAAAATTAATTTCCTTATATTGCAAACAATTTTGAACTGATTTAAAAAAAATATATATTGTTGTAAAGGTGATTAAATCCGCTTTCTTTCGACATGCATATTTGTATACTTCGTATATAAAAATTTTAGAAAAAACACATTTAAATGAAAAAATACCTTTTTTTTATAAAAAAAACTTATTTTAAACAAAAAAATTACTAACCGATTTTTAGAAATATGCATATCAGAAGAAAGGGGATTTAATCACCTTTACAGCGATACCAATTGTTTATATACGAAGTATACAAATATGCATATCTAAAGAAAGCGCATTTAATAAATTTTACAACGATGTGAATCTTTTTAAAATCGGTTCAAAATTGTCTGAAATATTAAGTTTTCCATTTTTCGATGATCTGACCTTTGACCCGTTATAGCACCTGTAATATAAGTTTTCACAAAAAAATTATATATCATATAAATGAGAGCAAAAGGCGGACCATGTCTGCATTTTTACTTTTTTGCGTTTTACATGCAATAATTAAAAATAATTTTTTACCAAAGGTCCAATTTCGAACTTCGAAGGCCCATATCTCGATTTCGAAGGCTAACTTCGAAAAACGGAGAACTAACTTTTTTACTTATGACTCAATCTCTTTAAAAAAGTTGGTTTGGTCCAATACCCAGCCGAGTGCTGTACAATGTTATTAATTTCTATTTAAAAATGATAAAATGCCAACTTTTAACTCCTTGTTATCATTGGATATCTCCCTCAGTGTGTCAGCTTTGTCTTTTTCTATCTTCATCCACTCTTTTTCATTTTCCTCACTCCTCTGAATATGTTGGCTTATCTCCGCTGACAACCCATCAAATTTTTCTAATACTTTCTTTTGTAAAGTGCCTATTGCTTTCTTTCTTTTAGGCTCAACCGCAGAAGCTGAGCTGCTAGGCATTGGTGATGATGGTGATGATAGCGGGGGTGACGATGTGGTTGGCAGAGGAGTGAGAGGTGATGCCAGTGGTGAGGAAAATGTTGGGCTGAGTGATGACGGCAATACTGGGGTCAGTGGTGATGGCTGGTATGCTATATCGGCTTCTGTTTAAAAGAAAAAAAACACAAATAAGAATGAAATAATTAAAATCAGCATTAAATAAATACATATGTACATATGTGCTTGTATCGAAGTTAAAAAGATAGGGAACGGTTTAGTTATTTGTACAACAATTTTGGGTTGATGTGCAAAACGCGTGACCCGAATAAAAAAAAACCGAGCTGAGCTGTCAAACGCAAAAAGTATCCACGAATTATCTCTGCAAAAGGTGTTCAGCCCCTCTTCTTCGGCAACACTGAAAGGATAATTGTACTTAGTGAGGATTATAATCCTTTCGCAAAAAATCGCAATTTCCCCTATGTTTAAACAGCTCCCAAGGGGTCTGTGGGGGGATGGGTTACCTTTAGTAAAGCGCTTTCCATCCTCTTTCGTTTAGGGTGGTTTGGGGTGCACCACCACAAAATCGTTTTACAAATAACTAAAAATTCCCCAAAAGATGTTTTCATTATAAATAGTGAACATTTTTTAGTAGATCAAATTTCTATTAGCACTACTGAAACCAGTTAAGTGGGGAACATTTACATTCTCTACTTAAGTTTTTAGTGGAACATTTGTTTTGAAGCACCACCGTATGTCTGTGCTCGTGCAAAATCGAAGTGTACCTTCGCACTTAAACCTGCAACTAAACGAGCTGTTCTAGCATGTACAGAGACGCGTCACTCTGCTACAAAACAAATATCTCCACTAAATACATTACGGCTTTTAGTAAGGCACATTCCAAAAACGCATACATACCGCTGATGTTTTCAAGCGTCAGCTCGCAAAACATGTTGGCCTTAAATCCACCGATTATCTGGTGCACCCTTGCGTATAAAGGCCACGTTGAGGGTGATCCACCAGAAGGTCCCATAGCCAATTTCTCTTTTCTATTAACGAATTAAATTTTTAGTGGTTTTGAATATTATTCCTTTATTTCTTCTTACCTGTAGCGTTGCGTGAAGTTCGCCAACTTCACCTGCACATCCCGGGCGCTGTAGTTGTGGCCACACTTTGCCAGCTCGTTCGCCATCTTCGCGTAGATGTGGCCATTCTTCCGTGCACCGCGGAGATCAGCAACGCGCTCTTGCCGCAAATCAAGAATGGCCACTTCGCCATCCTCTGCCCAAGCCAGTCTCCTCTTTCTTGGTTTTGGAGGTAATCGAACTGAAATACATACATTTGTGTTTTTAATAAACATTACACAAAACCATTTGTGTTTATTTACTCACCATTCAGATTGTTCTGCATCCTGCAGGTAAAATTAAATTTTTTTGGTTTTTGATGTTTTTGGTTCCAAAAAGAAAATAATAAATTTATGTCAAACAGCTGATTGTCATTTAACACTGAACACACCAAAACTAAGAAAACGAACTTACCTAACAGAGTTGCATTGGAGTTTTTACTCGATTAAACATTCAATTAATTACCAATCGAGCAATTTTTAATTGGAATTTTTAATGGCAAATCGATCTTAATTAGTGCATTAATTGAGAAAGCTTGGATAATTGCTCGATTAACTGCCTGTCTGAAAATAGTATAAGTGATTTTTACACCTTTCTTGTTTGCTTGCTTGTTAACTATAATTTTTCACTTTTTTAAGGTCGCATACCTGGAAGGCGTGGCGGCGAAACAGGACGTCCTGCAACGATAGATGTTGAAGTTGTGTTAGAGGAAGTGGAACTAGGTCCATCGACTTCAGTGACAATGATGGAAAGACGGACTGGAATACCAAAAACTACAGTTCACAAAGCTTTAAAAGACCATCGATTTCATCCCTACCACATTCAACGTGTTCAGGCTCTATAAGAAAGAGAGTACCTGTCGAGGGTTAGATTCCGCCGTGAAATGTTGCGAATGCATGAATCAGACCCCAACTTTTTTAATAAAATAATTTGGAGCGATGAATCATCATGCAAACGTGATGGTTATTTTAATTTACATAACCTTCACAGTTGGCAGATAGACAATCCTCACGAAATGAGAGCAGATCGTTCGCAGTGCCGGTACAAAATAAATTTATGGTGCGGTATTTTTAATTCTCAGATATTGGTTTCTGTGGAACTGCCTTCAGGAACGGCTTCCAACTCGTTTAGAAGATGTACCCTTAAACCTGCGGCGAAGACTATGTCTGCAAAATGACGGGTGCCCTGCTCACTACGGGCATGAAGTAAGAGCTCATTTAGACGAAACTTATCCTCGCCGATGGATTGGACGATACGGGCCAATCACGTGGCCCGCTCGATCGCCAGACCTGAATCCATTAGATTTTTTCTACTGGGGCTGTCTTAAGGACAAAATTTATTCAAAAACAATTCAAAACGAAGAGCATTTGCGGGAACAAATAAATGGAGCTGCTGCTGAGATAGCCCAATTGAGTTTAAGATCTCTAAAAGCGTCTTTTCTTAAAAGGTGCCGAGCTTGTATTAGAGTAGAAGGTCGCCAATTTGAGCATATTTTATCAATAAATGAATAAATTTTTCTTCAAACAACTCATGTATATTTTATTTCACGTGAACTGATCCTTCACAAAAAATATTGATAAATATAGCCCTTGTTATAGACTCTAGTCCGAATTCCGGTAAGTAACATAAAATAATGTCAGGAGCAGGTAATAATGTACCTTTGTACTATTTAGCATGTCATTGGTCGGTAACAAGAGAAACTTAAATTTAAATCTATTAAATACATTCTAGCGTGTCTCAGTCCTTTGCCCACAAAAGCGGCTATAACTTTTTGTTCTATTCGAAACTGTAAGAGTGGCACTTTTCTGAAATCTTTATTAAATTAGCAATTTTTTTATGTAATGTAAAGTTATAGCTCAGTACATTTTTTTTTTCACCAGAGATAGTCAAAGTTGGGGAAGAAAATATCAAAAAGTTAAAAATCCAGGAATAGTCCTATGATGGTTCCTTAATATATTTTAACTACATTGCATTCGAGTATGGAGCGGCAACTATCTGGAAGTATTTTACATTAAAAATTTACTAAGTATTGCCCGGTTTGTAGTTGCAGTTAAAGAAAACACATGAAAAGGCACGATTTTTTTTAAATTCGAAAAAATGTAAATATTTCAAAAACGGTGACACTTTTACCTGAAAATTTTTTGTTTATCAGTGAGCTCACCCCCCCACCTACCTTGCCCTAAAGTTTGGCACGTTACTTCTGGGACACCCTGTATGTATGAACCATGTACGCTTACGTTAATATTTTCAAATCTCAGTAGGCAATTTTTGAATATTGAAAATATTTGCATTCTTTTTATGCGGAAGTAACAAATTATCAAAAATCAACGGGAATTTTGAAAATTTGCACTTTGTGATATTAAAATTTAATGGGCTTATTGAACTGCGTACTCGAAGAATTTCTAAAATTCAGATTAAAAAATATACATACATCATTTACAAAACTTTGTTACATTATTCTAAATATTTTTTAAATTTTTTAAGAAGTTTGAAGGTATGAGTTCTATCGTTTAGTTGCTATCAAGGAGTATATTTTTTTGAAAAAATGAGCGAAAAAAGTTTTCATGAAAACATTGTGAATAAGGGGAAAACACTGACTGCCCAATCTTATTTGTGTTACTGTACATCATCATTTAAAATCTGCCATATTTTTACAAAGTGGGTTTGTTTGAAACCAATTTTTAAAGTTTTGTTGTGCTGAACAGTTTTTGAATAATAAGTTCAGTCTTTTTTTTGTCCAAATTTGCAAATGTAACGAATAAGATTGAAATTTGATACAAAATTAATTCAGACTGCCATAATAAAAATCATTATACATTTCACATACCTTGGACTTCCTGTGAAACTGGATGGTAGAATACACATTTTTCCTACATCAGTTATTTCGGTGTTTTCACTACTAACGCTGTCTCTGAGATGTATGTGTGAATCAACGCGTAATTCTTTTTGGTGTGCTTTATGTACAAAAGGCGCTCTGCTTCCACGTTTGCATACATATCAACAGCATACTGTTGAAATAAGTCTTGACATCGGTGTAAATGATTGAAGTAGTTGTCTCTGACCATAAAAGTGTAGGCGTAGAAATCCATACACGACACTGTTTTGTTCCCTTGTGTTTGGGGAATTCCAAAGTGATAGCCATCTTCACCATATATGCATATTGAAGAGGATCGTATGATCGGTGTGTTTCTGTGATTCTTTGTCACGAAGTTTTATAACGATATCTCTTTTCCCACAATCTTGATTATTCATTACCAGGGAACGGATTTTTAGGACCTAAAAACCTATAAAAAAGGCAAAATAAAATAACGAAATAGGCTGGAAAAGGCAAAATAAAATAGCGAAAAAGGCAGGAAAAGGCACTAGGTATTGCAAAAAAGGCACAAAAAGGCAAAACAAAACAGCGAAAAAGGCAGGAAAAGGCACTAGGTATTGCAAAAAAAGCAAAATAGGCACTAAAAAAGACAGAAAATACGAAGAACAATCAAAAAATACATTTATTTTAGAAATGTTTATATTACAAGTAAAAAGAGAAAAACTATGAACTAGTTTCATTATATGAAAAATTTTTACTTTGAATCTTTGACTATTTTATCCTTTCGAGTTTCTAACCCATAAAACTTTAATCTGTATAGTTGTAGTAACATTGAACCACAAGATGCATTTTGAAGTTTTCTGGCATCATTTTCATTCGATTTTCGCGAAGAAAAGACTTGAATGTACTAAATGTGCGCTCGACGTAAGTTGATATAAGTGGAACCCAATTTAAATATGGAACGTTTGAAACGTTCATATTATCAGGAATAAGGGCGTTTTCCTCTCCCTTTACAATTTTATCCACAGCCCTTATTATCTCCAAGCAAGAGGTCCCTGCGCTTCTATAAGCCGCATGGGCATGTGTATATTTTGTGTTCTTTAAAAAAAAGTTGTAAATGCTATAATCACTTTTTTAAAGGTAGAAAAGGCAAAAAGAGTCAAATATCTTAAAAAAGGCAAAAAAATGCAACATCAAATGTGTATATATGGAATCAGGGAAAGCTAAATCGTGGACATTCTTAATCGAATATGCTCTATCTCTTTAGCAGAAAAAAAGGCAATTTCCATAAAATCCGTTCCCTGTTCATTACTATAACCACTTCATTGCAGGTTGGTATGTTGAAACGACTACGATGTTCCCGGCAGGCCGCTTATTCGCGTGTATCACCAACTTCAAATCAGGTGAATAAGACATTTCCATGGCAAATTTGAAGCTTCTAACGTAGTTGGTAATCATGTGCACCATGTCTTGCAATTGGATTGTAATGTTACGCTCTATCGCATTTAAATACGTGCAACGCAGTTCGGCTTGGTCGCGCATGTTACTTACAAAATATATTTGTAAAAGCTGTGGTTTTTGGTTACTCTCCGGTTGAAGCGATCCAATTCTGTGGTAAACTTGACCTTGTACTTTAAATGTCGGGATAAAACCACCGACTTATAGTTTCGAATACATTTTAGAAACGCTTTTGATTCGGAATTGGTCCCTAGCAGCAGTGTTGCCAGGTTTTCAGCATGATAAAACGTCCCTCTTGGTCTGAAAAAACGTCATTTCATACCCAAAAACGTCTTTTCCATGTATGCACACATAATTGTTCTTATTAAACTTTTATTGTATACAAAGGTACCTATGTACGTAAGGTATATTAAAAAGTCATTTCGACAGAGCACATTTAAAATTCATTAGTGTTATTCACCAAAGTGAGCAAGTGGCCTGGCACTCTGGAAAAACAGCAGATGAGCTCAAGCAACGACTGTTGATAACAATTTAGTGAATACCACTATTGTAAACTGGTTTGAGATCATTAATATAAAAATCATTTTATACATATACTTATGATCAGTTGATTAATTCATCAACATTTTGATCGTTTTAGCTGTTTTTTTTTGTTTATTTAATGTTTATTATTTTTTCATAAAAGCCTAGCTCTTTATATAACTAACCCAATAAATCCACATTTCAAACTTTGTGCAAAAATTATAAAAAATCTGCAAAGCTTTAGCTAGATTTTCAAGTTTTTATTCAGATTTTTTGGATTTTTTTTTTGAGTATGCAGCTTGATAGCCCATTCAATTCCAGAGTAATAATGTGCAAGTTTTAAGTTGCTAAATAATCGCGTTGACTTTTATTTTATTTTTTTCTTGTAGACATTTGTTAGGGTGTCGGCTGCGGGCGTGCATGTTGCAATAGATTAGCTCTTCCTGATTTGGCTTTTAATATGCAATTACAAACATTTGGGCAATTCACAAGGTGTCGTATTTGTCGTGAAGTCATGAT